CCTTAGCCTTGACATTACTGTCTACTAGGTTATACCCGATCACATAATCAAGTCTGCCCCCCATCAGATGTGTCACTTTGTCTGTGTCGTATACAGTGATATTATGATTATTGATGTAATTCACGAACACCCTCCCATTACAGTTACACTGGATATCACCGAGGACAGTGTGACGAGAGTTAAAGTCACCCATACACAGCATAGCATTGTTACCTGATGGCTTTGGTAACACGTCCGCTCGCAGTTCATTACACCGAACATAGATGTTATACAGCGAAAATTGACTGTTTGCTGTCTTTACTGTAAATTGTTGATAGTGAATACTTTCATCATTGTGAGTTTTAATCCATTTACAGACCAGACCATTCTTTACATAAGTGAGCAGGCCACTTCCTGCTCCACTATTATATGCAGTAAACCCAGCTATCCTGGGTGCAACTTTCTTCTGGGTGCTGGACGTGTAAGGTTCTTGTAAACCAATTATATCAATGTCAAAAACTTTAACAAACCATTGTAGATCATTAATTCTGCGATTAACACTCCGGATGTTCCATGAAATGAACCTAAGCGTTCGTGTTACTTTTCCCACCTTGAATTTAGCGTAGAGAGTCGCACGCTGGCTTCATAGATCAGCCTGACCAATAAGCTGACCATTCCAAGTTCTGTACCTCTGGATTTCCTGATAATGTTCTTCACAGCCCTTATTCCAGTAGGATTTTTATACGCGGGTTCCTTCATCAGTCCCGCGAGTTCCTCCTCCGTAAACAGTGGAAAACGTACAGGGTCATGAACAGTCTTCAGACCTGGGACTATTATAGAGACCACGCTGGCAGTCTGGGGCTCATTCTCCCCATCCATGCTTCCATCACTATCGGTCTCGCTCTGGCTACTCACCCTCAAGTTGGCATCATTATGAGAGGAGGCACGAGCTCCTTCAGAAGCTCCACTAACACTATCACTGTCATTGTTCACTGGTACACTTACTTGGCAGGCTTTAACCTGACCTACATTGGCTAACGAAGGAGAGTCACTGTGCCTGTTGACTTCAGGTGGTGGAGGCGATCCGGCCGCATTGGCGTCACTGAGTGGGACTGCTATTGTGGATGGAGGCGACCTCCCAGGACAACTGGGGTGCAAGGCCGTCACACCCTCCTCTCTGGACCTGGGACACTGCCCCCTGGGTGGGGAGGTGTTGCTGTTGATTTCATGTGCTGGAGGCGACCCCGCAGTGTTGCTGTTGGCATCACTGAGTGGGACCGCTTTTGTGGGTGGAGGCGGGCTTCCAAGGCAACCTGGATGCCAGGCCGTCACACCCTCCTCCCTGCACCTGTAACACTGCCTCCTGGGTGGGGAGGTGTAGCTGTTGATTTCAGGCGTTGGAGGCGACCCTGTAGCGTTGGCGTTGGCGTCACTGAGTGTGACCGCTATTGTGGGTGGAGGCGGGCTCCCAAGGCAACCTGGATGCCAGGCCGTCACACCCTTCTTCCTGCATCTGGCACACTGCCACTCCAGTCAGCGGGGGAGATTAATCCACTCGCTGCTGAATGCTAACATGACTTACGAGTCCAACACCTGGCTGGCCAATCTACTCCATAAAGAAAGATAAGACTTGTAAGAATAAAAAAAAAAATACACGAAAAATGTACATAAATATAAAAATGTACTTACACAAAGGGTAACGCATGAGTAGTTAGGGTGACATGAGGGCAAGTCTTAGGTGTTGTAAATATTACTGAGCATCTATCTGTCAAGTGGCTAATACCGGGACAAAGAGGGAGGTGGAGAGGGGCGGATGTCAGTGGTGGTGGATGGACGGAGGGAGGAAGAGGGTGAAGGAGAGGGAGGGAGAGGGAGAGGTAGTGGGGGGGGAGATGAGAGGTGAGTGTGTGGTGGGGGTACCCGCTCCACTCTCTTTGTCTAGGTGTATTATCATCAGGTATCTGGTTGTGTTATCTCGCACGTGGACAAGTTTGTTACTCTGTGTAATCACGCCCCCCACCGCCCCTCCACACACACACACACACACACACACACACACATTGCTACAACTGCTGCTGCTGACGACGATGAGGACGACGACGAAATAGCAGAAGTCGATTTGGCATTTTTCAGGTTTGTCTTAAGACTATCCTTATACCTTTTCCGTTGCCTGCCAGGGTTACATTTACTATTCGTTAGGTGACTGTAAAGTAACTGCTTTGGCAGTCTACTGTCGTTCATGCGGGTAACATGGCCAGTCCAGCGTAGTTGTTCATGGATAATGGTAGCCTCGATGCTCCTGTAGTTGGTGTCAACGAGAATACTGGCATTTGTTCTCTTGTCTTCCCAGCGAACTCGGTGTTGGTGACAGTTTTCAAGTGCCTTGAGGTGCCTCTTGTATGTGACCCTTGTCTCGTGTGTCTCCTGTATGTGACCCTTATCTCGCGTGTCTCCTGCATGTGACCTTTGTCTCGTGTGTCTCCTGTATGTGACCCTTGTCTCGTGTGTCTCCTGTATGTGACCCTTGTCTCGTTTGTCTCCTGTATGTGACCCTTGTCTCGTGTGTCTCCTGTATGTGACCCTTGTCTCGTTTGTCTCCTGTATATGATCCTTGTCTCGTGTGTCTCCTGTATGTGACCCTTGTCTCGTGTGTCTCCTGTATATGACCCTTGTCTCGTGTGTCTCCTGTATGTGACCCTTGTCTCGTTTGTCTCCTGTATATGACCCTTGTCTCGTGTGTCTCCTGTATGTGACCCTTGTCTCGTTTGTCTCCTGTATATAATCCTTGTCTCGTGTGTCTCCTGTATGTGACCCTTGTCTCGTTTGTCTCCTGTATATGACCCTTGTCTCGTGTGTCTCCTGTATGTGACCCTTGTCTCGTTTGTCTCCTGTATATAATCCTTGTCTCGTGTGTCTCCTGTATGTGACCCATGTCTCGCGTGTCTCCTGTATATGACATAAACGATCTAGATACTGGGATCAGCAGTGACATAAGCAAGTTTTCGGATGACACCAAAATAGGGCGGCAGATTAATTCAGGGCAGGATGCAAATGCACTACAGGAGGATCTAAATAAACTGCAGGGGTGGTCTGAAAAATGGCAATTGAAATTCAACACCAGCAAGTGCAGCATACTTAATATTGGAAGAACAAATACTGTCAATGTATACAGCCTTAACAAAATCAACCTAAAGAAGTCGACTTGTGAAAGAGACGTAAGGGTACTTGTAAGCCCGGACCAACGGCCTAGAAAACAGTGCGTTAATGTTCGAAATAAGGCAAACAGAGTATTAGGTTTTATATCTACAAGTGTAAGTAATAAGAGTGCAGAGGTCTTATTGCAACTATATCTTGCGCTAGTCAGGCCGCACCTCGATTATGAGCTTCAGTTCTGGTGCCCTTATTATAGAATGGATATCAAATCACTGGAGTCGGTGCAGTGAAGAATGACGAAAATGATTCCGGGACGAAGATTGAGGTGAGATATGATAGAAGTATTTAAGTGGGAGAAAGGAATCAAAAAAGGATATATAGATAAAATTATTATAATATCCGAGCAGGATAGGACTTGTAGCAACGGATTTAAGTTGGATACGTTTAGGTTTAGGAGGGATATAGGAAGGGAATAGGGTGGTAGACGAGTGGATCAAGCTTAGCAAATTTGTAGTAAGTGCTGGGACGCTGGGAAGTTTTAAAAGGAGGCTAGATAGATTCATGGATGATAGAGAGTGGTAGTAACTCTCGACAGGAGCTGCCATGCACAGGCCAACCGGCCTTTTGCAGACTCCTTATTTTCTTATGTTCTTATGTTGTCTCGTGTGTCTCCTGTATATGACCCTTGTCTCGCGTGTCTCCTGTATGCGACAAATATCTCGCTGTGTCTCCTGTATGTGACACATGTCTCGCTGTGTCTCCTGTATGTGACACATGTTTCGCTGTGTCTCCTGTATGTGACGTTTGTCTGGGTGCTATTAAATAGAGTGGAGAGGGTCATTGTTCGACACAGGTGTAGTAGCTTTACATTCAATGGTACATACACCTGTTTTCGCAGATGTTTTTAACGTGTTATCATCCATTGTACATGGAACACACGGACAGACACACACCTGTTTTCGCAGATGTTCTCCACAAAATAAGGTACACACACACACACACACACACATACACACCACACACACACACTCACACACAGGCAGGCATCTTAACGTCGCCAATATTGTGTGTAGATACAGTATGTAAGCATATTATGTGCAGGAGTAGAACACACTCTCCATCTTCTTTGTTAACCATTCAACAACCCTTAAATGGTAATCGGTTATTTCTTGAGTTAAAATTCGTCTCCAAGAGTGATGTACGGCAGTATAAAGCCGCTGTAAACAGACAACTATAATATGAATGCAGTGGTCTTGCCATAGCGTTTTAATGTCTGTGATTATCTGTGTTATTTTATTTCTCACAAACGACGATTACTAATTTCCAGAATACCATATAGTGTCAAAATCCCTCAAGATCTGTTTATGTGTCTTTTTCAAAATAAAATTAATAAGTGTCCTATGAGTTGCAGGACGTGGCGATCCTCGACAGCTTAGTTACTACCATCTTAGTTGTATCCATTGTTTACATTTTTCGTTTTCCTTATTCAATCATTTTTTTAGGTTTGGGTGTTAGAGTGGTCAGTTGACTCTTGTACTTTTTATGTAAAACAAGTACACACTTACAGTGCATATACACGTAAACACACACAAATGCACCCATATAAACTGGTTACAAGCAGAGTAACATGACTAATAATAATAATAAAAAAACATACACACATACTCTCCCGTAATCAGTCTACCACACAATCGTCTTTACTCTTTTCCTTTAATATTTAATTCCATTTGTTACTTTACTCATAAAACTCAACAGCAACAGTGAGAGTACAATGATGCTGGTGTTGACTGTTTTAGAGGCGGCAGGTTGGCGTGTTATCGATGCTGAGATTCGTGAACAATGAACACTTGACGCTATCTGTGGCCGCCCCTGGGATGAGCGCTACTGCTGTTGACCACTGTCTCCTCTACTTATTAGTCTCGCTGTCAAGGGTCTCCTGTTACGACGTCTCTCTATTTATCTTGGCCAGTCCCATATGCGCTGCCGCTTGCTGGTCTCGCCAACAGATTTTGCTTGTCAGTATCACCATTTTTCAGTTGAGTTTGTAGCGAATCGTGTGATAGACTGGGACTTTCTACAAGAGGAGAGAACCCAAGAGTTGAAGAGCACTGACATCGCTTTTCAGACTTCCGTCTTCTTCTCGATACGAGGTTCCTGTTGGTGAGGAGTAAGTTCAGCGGAACAGAGGCAAAGTGCTCCGTGTTCTAAGAGTAGAAACCTTTTACTCAATAAGCTTACTGACAGCTGATGCGATTGATATGTTGTTTTAAGGTCAGTAAATTCAAACTAGATTAAATATATCGTACTAAAACGTCCAGGAGCCACTATGACGCTTCTGGGAGAGTCTGGTGTCTCGCCTCTGGGTCACTTTAGCACCGACGATCACAACATATTTCCCAGGTTATCCAGTCTCCTCTCGATTTGCGCCAGTCAGCATGATGCGTCCCACCACCCTCACCAACTACTGCCAGGTGGTTATACTAAGTATGAGTATAAACACGAGCCTGTTCAGGGAGACCATGGGTATCAATCCTCAGAGAACCCAGAAGCGGAGAAAGTGAGGAACTATCAAGAAAGAGCAAAATGGGAGGTTGGCAAAATGGATAGTGATCTTCTTGAGCATGATGTTCAAGAACTGCAGAGAAACAACGACTCTGAAGAGATCCTGGAGGAGGGTGAAAAATCCCATACTTCAAACAAACATGAAAGAAAACCGCGTGCACACAACCCTTTCGTTGCTGCAAGTATTCACAACCGCCTCTGGTGTTGCACAAACGGGAACTTCCGAGTTAACTCAAGGATCCTCAGCGAGTTTGAATCCAACTGTGGGTGCACGACGCACAACTTGGTCGACTGGGCCACGCGAGTCTCATGGACAGACCTAAACCTCAGACACCAATATAAAGTTTGCGAAGTAACGCACCAGAGTCCCTACAGGTCGTCGGGGTTCAAGAAAGTGGTCCCTTACACTCAACATTGTGGGAAAGAAGGGAGGCTTGGTTCACCTGCATTGTCTTCGTACAGAAGACTTAATGTGGAGCCATCACCAGGAAGGTCACAGACAACTGAGGGCGTCACATCTTTTTCCATAGTGAAGGAAGAACTGGCTGAAGCTGCGCAGGCCTCAACTGAAGGTGAGTCACGATGATGTGGAAGACGACAATGCCCACATGAGGCATTTAGGGATAAGATCATGAAGCTCCTACGCCAACTTGTGTTGACAGTTAGAGAATATACAGTAACATTGCTACACAACACACTAAGCTGTTGGGACAGTTTTCAAGTAGAATATAATAAATTGATAAGGGTTTACCTTACTTTTCACCGAAGTAAATTTTTAATTGAAATGGCTATTGTAAATTTTTAAAACAGGTATCATAATTGATATGCAATGTGAAAACAAATATACACGGACTGTTCTTGTAACTACAATATTTTTAATCAAATTAGTTAACGGTGACACCAGTTTTCCATCTGATAATTATTATTATCTGAGTTATCCGGCTTCAGTCTCTGTCTTTAAAACTGTGGAACTGCATCCCACCCGTGGATGAGGGGTCGTGATCGGTTCCTTGTGAAGGTATAGGAGATGTTGGTTCTCTACCCCCTAAACACAAAAAATAGGCCACTCACACATCCTTACTGGATTTCAGTTTTCTTGTCTTCAATACTGTAGTAATGCATCAGAAACAAAGACACACACACGCTGAGTGTATGTGTGTGTATATATATATATATATATATATATATATATATATATATATATATATATATATATATATATATATATATATATATATATATATATATATAATTATTGATTATCGTTAATGGTAAATGCGGGCATTCAAAAGTGACCTAAAAGGTTTTGATCACACAAGATAATAATGAAACAGACACACGTCATTAGATAATGTGGAGGTAGTAAGCGTATAATACGTTTGTACTCTGGATCAGTGGCTTACCACACATTTTGTTTGACCGTTGCTGTCATAACTAATCAAATATTCATAAGAGAAGTGGCGCTGATTTGACCCTTTGTCGAATGTGAGAAAATTATTAAGAATTTTATATTATTAATTAATTATATTAATATTTCCATAATCCACAGATAATTTTATTAATTGAAACTAATTTCTTAATATAATTAGATTCATTCAGACAGTAGGACTATTTATTTTTTAATATTAAAACACCTAATGATTCACGCTTCCCACTCGAGTCCCATAAAGCAAGGCAGTATACAAAAGCCTGTGGTCAGGTCGCTTGCCTGTAAGGAATTGTAAAGTGATCTCAAACAAATGATGAACACCTCCCCCATTCAGAGGCGCGCGGGGATGATTTTAACCATTTGCTGTTCATAATATTTCTATTAAATTATGAAGGAATAAACAATATCTATAACTTAGTATGAACACTCCGGCTCGGGCCTGTATTAATTACATATGTAATCTTATTCTTGGGGCTATGGTTAGTGCACAGAGATGAGTTAAATATTGGGGTTCATTGAGATGGAGGGCCACTCATGCGGCCTACTGAGATGATGGAGGGCCACTCATGCTGTCTACTGAGATGATGGAGGGCCACTCATGCTGCCTACTGAGATGATGGAGGGCCACTCATGCGGCCTACTGAGATGATGGAGGGCCACTCATGCGGCCTACTGAGATGATGGAGGGCCACTCATGCGGCCTACTGAGATGATGGAGGGCCACCATGGTGCCTACATGATGGAGGCCAACTGAGATGATGGAGGGCCACTCATGCCCTACTGAGATGATGGAGGGCCACCATGCGGCGGATGACTGAGATGATGGAGGCCACCATGGTGCCTACTGAGATGATGGAGGGCCACTCATGCGGCCTACTGAGATGATGGTTTGGGCCACTCATGCGGCCTACTGAGATGATGGAGGGCCACTCGTGCTGCCTACTGAGATGATGGAGGGCCACTCATGCTGCCTACTGAGATGATGGAGGGCCACTCATGCTGCCTACTGAGATGATGGAGGGCCACTCAAGCGGCCTACTGAGATGATGGAGAGTCACTCATGCTGCCTACTGAGATGATGGGAGGCCACTCATGCGGCCCACTGAGATGATGGAGGGCCACTCATGTGACCAACTGATATGCTGGAGGGCCACTCATGAGGCCCACTGAAATTATGGAAGGCCACTCATGTAGTCCACTAAGATGAAGAAGGGCCACTCATGTGAGCTAAGTGAGCTTATGTTGCACGTCACTGATCTACTCGTAGACAATATCAACTTACAATTTTGTAAAAAAGTGACAATGTTAAAGGAAGTTGAATATTTGTGTAAATTACGACTATTATTGTCTATAATAATAAAAGAGCTTTTATGTGTAAATCAGTCAGTCAGCGCAATAACTTCAAGACTATGAAACCTAGAGGTCTGAAACTTTGCATGCATACCAGGAAACCCTGGGGGCGTGCACCTCATTGTTACTCTATAGATTTTACTAAAAACAAAATTGGGGGAGGGGTTGACGAGAGCCACACAAAGCGATGTTTCTCTCACCGTCAACACGGCGTCCTGACGGGGCACGATCCCTACCTAGAAGAGATTGTGGAGATGATCGTGTAGTTGATGTAATGTAGATGATGATGTAGTTAATAATAATAATAATAATAATAATAATAATAATAATAATAATAATAATAATAATAATAATAATAATAATAATTAACTGTTTATTGAAAGAGCATAGCAGCCAGAAGGCTGAAAATATACAGTTACAAAATTGGGGAATGGGTTTCGATTTACAAATAATATACAAGTAACATAAGTGGTACAAATAAGATATATAATAACTAGATGGGGAAAAGCTCAAAATACAGGGCATTTCAATACAGTGACAGTGCAAGAAGTAGGATTTACTGGGAGTGAATATACTGGTTTATTACAAGATATTGATAATTTTTACAATGGTTGGGACTGGGCTGTTCTTAAAGCGATCAGTTCGTGCACGTATGGACTGGATGTGGTTGTGGTGTAGAACAGCAATTCTCGGGCTAGGGATCTCAGGTGGTAGTAGGAGCCGGTGTCGAGGATGGTGCAGAAGCTTCTTACCAAATTTGCAGATGAGGTCGTGGTGATGGTCAGTGAGAGTCGAAAGGGTCAGTTGATGTAGTGTAGATGATAGTGTAGTAATTGTAGTGTAGATGGTAGTATAATTGATGTAGTGTAGATGACAGTGTAGTTGATAATGTAGTCACTGACATAGATAATGAGCTGCCCTTCGAAAACAAACCTAGGGCTAGTACTGTAATAACAAAGACTGAAAACGACCAGCAGCGGATGAACCATGTTTATATTCTTAGGTGAGCGACCGTTCGTGTGCGAACAATCTGGATGTGGGCGAGCCTTCTGCAGAAACGAAGAGCTCACTCGACACATCAGGATACACTCCGGTCACCGTCCTTTTCTATGTCAGGTATGATACTGTGATCCAGTTCGTAGAGGGATGAAAGTTGTTCTTCTTCAGGAATTTTTTCTTTTATGACTTTGTTCTACCTCATGACCTGGTATCTGTTCTTTGTCTTTAGAAACATCACATCGAACTACAACTGGCTGCTGCTCTCTCTCTCTCTCTCTCTCTCTCTCTCTCTCTCTCTCTCTCTCTCTCTCTCTTTTCCTGGTCTGGTTAAAACAATTTGTTTATTATTATGAATATTATCTTCGATGAACATTCGATGCGTGATTCTGTCCACTTCAAGTTTAGGATTTAAGTTACCTTCATATTTACAAAAATTTCCTAACTGATCCATGGAGTCATCTGAGTCATTTTCCTCCACAGTCACACTATCATTTCAGTTGTGTGTTTGATTAACCCTTTAGGTACAATGTCAATCCTGAGTGCAGTGAGTTAGCTAATTGAGTGGGATATCTTAACCCCTTGAGTACGATGACTTAATCTCCCGAGTGTAATGTTATCGTATTCAATTGATTAAAGCCATTGTATTAAAAAAGAGTAAAATATAGTATTCAAGGGATTGATTCATGGTATTCAGGGGATTAAGCTATGAATATTTACTATATAATTAATGGATTCTTAATTGTACTAGACCAGGCACTGTGTGACAGGTCGATGTGGTCATCGCTGAGGCCTTAGAGCACTGTGAGTGTTACAGGTTTTTTCATAGTTAATATTAGGCAGAACTGTCGAAAGAAAAAAAAATAGTTTTTTAAATACACCACAGGTTTCCTCATATTGTTGGTCAAAAGATGGAATTTAGATTTTTTTTCCTGTGTCTTAAGAACGATAAGGATAATTAATTTTGTCAGGTTTTGGCTCCCTGCAGAATTAGGCAACACACTAATCACCGTTGTACTCTTGTACAGAAGTGTGGGCGACGGTTCGTGCGTCGTGATCACCTCACCAAACACCAGCGGACACACCTGCCTGTCCACGCGAAACGCACCTATGGCTGTCCCTTACCTGCCTGCACTCACAGGTACACCCACACACCTATATTGCACTGTTCCCTGCCTGACTACACCCACTTGCCTGAAATAGACTGTTTCTTACCTGCCTGCACTCATAGGTACACCCACACACCTATATTGCACTGTTCCTTGCCTGACTACACCCACATGCCTATAATAGACTGTTTCTTACCTGTCTACACCCATACACCTGTACAACTCTGTTCCTTACCTGACTACACCCACACGCCTGTACAACACTGTTCCTTATCTGACTACACCCACACGCCTGTACAACACTGTCCCTTACCTGACAACACCCACACGCCTGTACAACACTGTTCCTTACCTGACTACACCCATACACCTGTACAACACTGTTCCTTACCTGACTACACCCACACACCTGTAATAGAATGTTCCTTACCTAACTACACCCGCACACCTGTAATGCACTGCTCTATGTGTACCAGCTCACCCACCTTATCTCGGTGTCAGACACACACATAATCTCCTAAGCTACATACTCATGGTGTAGTTACTGTGATCACACATTAATTGTGCATAGATTTATTTTTTATAATATAACGAGAAAGGCCAGTTTGGGGTTGAAACTTTACCCCCAAAAAACAATATGTATACTTTTGTGATTAACCACAGGTACTAACAGGTAGAAGCTGTGTGCCCATTCTACAGGATCATCTAACAAGTTTACACAAGGTGCAACCTGATTACACCCACACACTTGTAATGAACTGTTCCCTGCTCTCTCATCTCGGCTACTGAGGATTTTTAATTCGTTGTATTTATTTTATATCGTAGATGATTCATTGTAAACTGTAATGAATATTTTTTTCTTCAGATATACTCGGTCGGATGCCTTAACCAGACACATGTGGACCGCCCACCACGTCCGTGCCCGTCAACCTCCGCGCCCACACACCCGCGTCCTGGCCACGCTGTTGCCGCCCACAGTTCTACCACCAACATCAGCATAGTCACCATCACTATCACCATCATCATTATATCACCACCAACACTGTCAATACCATCATTATCACCACCATCACTGTCACCACTATCACTATCACCACCATTATCACCACCATCACCATCAACAGCATCATCCCTAACACTGTCACCAACTTACTTTACCTCCATAACAAGTGGCTTCTTAAGCAGGAGCATTAAAAACATAAATACATAAATACATACATACACACTATTTTGCTGTCACTCGGAATCGAGTATGACGATTATCCAGCGATGATACAATGATATGAGTTATTAGGGATGTCACCTTCAATGGTGAGTTTTCAGGTGACTAAAGAGGCCGATACGGGACCGGCAGAGTTATTCACAGGTGTGGCACATGTGGAGGGCTACATCGAGTGTGTGAGGGGCGGTGGCAGCGTCTTTCCGGCGTTGGCGCTTGTCTGTGCCGCCCATGTGCAGAGTTATGACTAGAGACTCCAGGCAGTCATCTCATCTACGCCTGTCCCGTCGCCACTCGACCGTCGCCACAGGACTTTTGGGGGTATAGGGATTTTGATGATGATGAGAGGTATGATGAGCTGGATGATGGCTCCTCGTGAGTTGATTTATGTGGTGAGGCAAGAGCGCGGGCTGCAACCACACACCTTGGCTCTTCCTTTTCCTGATCCAGTGGTGCAAGTGTTGCAACGACTGGGGAGAGGGAGAGTTACAATGGAATGTCGATAACTCAAATTGTTGGGCTTCGCCTTAGTACCCTGTCCATCATGCATTGTCTTCATCCGCCGGTGTAGTCGTTGGGTTCCCATGATGGTCACCTCTTCCACCTATACCGCCTTTGTGGTCTTCATGGAGCTCTGTAAGCATGCATGCCTAAATGCCTAATGCAGGGCTCCACTGCAGATTTTTCGTTTGGGATTTACTCCCGTAGCCTTATATCTGCTAAGGTTAATCTGCAAGGTAGTGGGGCAATGGTTGGTAAGCGCCAGGACGTGTCCACATACCAGTGGGCCTGTGCGCCATCCCTCTGGGGCCCACTGCTACTCCGAGATCCCCCGCTGGTCTGGCCACGAGGAGGCACAGCAGGAGTCTTGATGGCGAAGAGGCTGTGTACTGGCAGGGGAAGACTTATGTAAGTTGCTTCCCTGTTCGCCATGAGGGCTAGCCAGCGGCGGTATGTGAAAGCGACAGGGAGCAAGCAATGCCTGCACCTTAACATAATGCTGCCACACTAGACGCATTACACCACCCTTGGCATACATACATACATACATACATACATACATACATACATACATACATAAATACATACATAAATACTCATGTAGCTAGTGTTTATATGATTTGATACCCTCAAAAATAAATTATTGTAAATACTATTATGTGCAATAAAGGCAAGTTTATAAATTACTTACGTTTTAACCCACATTAATTTGTATATAACTTTTACAGAGCATATTAATAAAACATGAGGCTCCACTGCTGCACAGTATTGCCTGTGTCAGACTGTAGTTCATAAGAGTGTATATTGTTGGCACAGTAATACACCCCATATTGACACTGCTAACACGAGTACAGTATATGGGAATGAAGCGAAAACGGAAAAGAGTCAGTGGCTACCTGTTTGTTCTACTAAGATGAGCTCCACTCGCTTAGACTAAGGTTTACTGGGTAAAGTAAATTTTGGCTTTAGGTAGCTGGGTTAAGCTATGTTACAGTAAGCGAGGCTGAAATATCATGAGAATCATTAATAACTTGGATTTGTTTGAGCAAAGTTGTTGATCATAAGCTAATGAATCAGTGCGACTTCAACTAACGACTATCATAATACAGGTATCAACAATGTGGATGAAGTGACTGGCTCCTATTGACCATTTAATTCTGAATTTATGAAGAGTTTTACCAATCAAGAGGAACGATTAGAGTTCTTCTTAAATACTAGGAGTCTGAATATAGGTTCTCAAAGTTTTGAACGAAACATAGTGGCAATCTTGTTAAAATTTTCCAACTGACGTCAACGAACATAATAAGGAAAATTAAGGCGGTCCATAATCACCCTTTCACTTTGTAATATATTCATTTAATTTTTTTTTCATATGTAAATTTTCCTTAATAGAGGGTGAATAAATGAGTGAAGGAAATAAGAACATAAGAAGATAAGAACATAAGAATGGAGGAAACAGCAGCGGGCCTATTGGCCCATACTGGGCAGTCCCATTTACACCCAACCCCTATTACTCGTATATCCATCCAACCTATGTTTGAAGCTATCTAGCGTATTCGAGTTAATTATGATATTTATTAACTTGTTCCACTCATCCACTACTCTATTTCCAAACCAATGTTTACCTATTTCACGCCTAAATCTAAATATGTCAAATTTAAAACCACTGTTACGAGTTCACTCCTGGTTGGATAGTTTGAGTACCTTTGTAATGTCCCCTTTGTTCAGCCCTGACTTACATTTATACACCTAGATCATATCGCCCCTCACTCTACGTCTCTCGAGGGAGTACAAATTAAGAAGCTTTAAACTGTCTTTGTACTCAAGGTTGCTAATGCCCGGGATTAGTTTTGTCATTCTCCTCTGAATTCTTTCCAAGGATTCTATATCCATTCTGTAAGACGGTGACCAGAATTGAACTGCGTAATCCAAGTGGGGTCTCACAAGCTCAAGATATAGTTTTAAGATGACCTCGCTAGTCTTGTAACTAACACTCCTTTGTATGAATCCAAGTACTCTATTAGCCTTGTTTCGAGCAAATACACATTGTTTACTTGGCTTAAGATTCCTACTTATTATTACTCCTAAATCTTTCTCGCAGTCGGATTTCTCAATAACATCGTTGTTCATCTGGTATCTGGTTTTCCTGTTTACATCTCCTATACTGAGTACTTTACATTTGTCCACATTGAATTTCATCTGCCATTTTTCAGACCATTCAAAAAATTTGTTTAGATCTTCCTGAAGTTTTGCTGAGTCATCTTCAGATTAAATTACTTATGTTGCTGTCTACGCCGATATCTATGTCGTTTATGTATATAATAAATAATAATGGTCCTAGTACTGAGCCTTGGGGAACTCCACTAGTGAACGTTGCTCCAATGGGATTTAGTGCAGTTAATGCTCACTCCCTGTTTCCTGTAATGTAACCATGCCCTAATCCATTCTGTAATATCTCCTTTAATACCATGAGCATCCACTTTGCTTATTAGTCTTTCGCTGGGGTCTCTATCGAAGGCTTTGCTAAAGTCGAGATACACCACATCATAATTGTGCCCCTCGTCCACTGATTCGAAAACAGATGAAAAGAATGTAAATAGATTAGTTAGACATGAACGCCCATTTGTGAAGCCATGTTGGGAATCATTGATCAACTTGTGCTTCTCCAGGTGATTTCGAATAGAGATTGAAATGATTGCTTCAATAATTTGCCTACAATTGGTGTTAGACTGATTGGTCGGTAGTTAGAGGATAGTGATCTATCTCCCTTCTTAAAAGTCGGTATTACATTCGCTATCCTCCAGGATTCTGGTACAACACCCGTTTTTAAGGACATGTTAAACATCTTTGCTAAGGGCATACTAAGCTCTTCCTTACATTCCTTTAATACTCTGGCAAATATCTCATCGGGACGTGGTGACTTTTTAGGCTTTAGTTTGTCTATTTGCTTACTAACATCGTTACTAGTCACTACTATCTAGCTTAATTTATTTTCTTCGCTATCTCTGTATAGAGTCGGTGCCACGGGTATCATGTTTAAATTTTCGGTGGTAAAAACTGTTGAAAAAATATTCATTCAGATTATTGCTCATTTCTCCCTCGATATCTGTTAGCTCGCCGATATCTGACTGTATTGGTCCAATCTTTTCTCGTGTTTTAATTTGATACATTTGATAGAACCCCTTGGGGTTTGCCTTCGCCTCCCTTGCTATCTTCAGCTCATTATTCGTCTTTGCTTTTCTTATCTCGGTCTTAACCCTTCCGGCCAATACCTTTTAATAATCTCGAAGGTAGACTTCACTATGATTTATTCTCCTACCTATAGCCTTCCTTTGTCCAATAATATTCTTTAAATAATTATTTATCCATTTAGTGTCATTGTTGTTTGATCAGAGTTTTCTGTATGGTTTGTTCTGCCTTTGTGCATTAAGTAACTCATTATTCAAATTGTTGTGGAACTTGTCAACCTCAGATCTCGTTATCAAGTTATCCCCAACCACAACCATCAGGTCTCCAGGGAAGGTGAGGTCGCCCTCTGTGGGAACATTGTGTGAGGTCACCTCATGTGAGGTCATGTAATTCACCCAGAAGCGTGATACCCCTTCTCTCAGCTACCTCTTCAAACTATCAAAGTTTGCCTTTCTGAAATCTGGGACATTGGTGGAATTTTCCTTGCGTCTGCTCTGAAATTCTAACTGGAATCTAATTTCTTTGTGATCTCTGTTAGAAAGTTTGTTCCCTACCTCGACATTACTAATGAGGTTTTCTCTGTTTGACAGAACTAAATCGAGTATATTATTACCCCGGGTGGGTTGGGTTATATGTTGGCTTAGGAAACAGTCCTGGATTGTTTCAAGAAAATCCTCTGATTCTTAGTTACCCGAGAGGTCAATTCAATCTATTTGGCTAAAGTTAAAGTCGCCTACTAAACAGACTTTGCTATGAATGGATGCACTGCACATTTCATCCCAATTAAGTTGCTCATTAACTCTATCAAAATTAAGAGGTGTATATATTATTCCTGTGATTAATTTTTCCCTACCATAGATTACTTCTATCCAAATTGTTTCTGGATTCCGCTCTGATTTTATTTCCTTATTTATATCACACATCAGATTATCCTTGACATAGATTGCTACTCTACCTCCTTTCCTAATCTGCCTATCCGTATGGAATTGTTTGTAACCTGCAATTTGGTATTCGACAGGTAACTCACGTGAGTCTAGGTTTATCCATGTTTTTGTGAATGCTGTTATATCGATTTTTTAAGTACATACCAACGCCCTGATTTCATCCATTTTGTTTCTCTTACTTCTACTGTTAGCGTAGTAGACATTTAAGTTAGTCGTGTTCTGAGTTCTATCTTTCGCGCATTTAGGTTTTAACCCCCTGCCTAATTTAGTTTTGTCATAATTCCTAGTACTATTTCCCTGTAACCTTTCACTTTGTTTACCCGGTCCCGCTGCAGTCTCCTCCACCCCCGTGCTCATATGTTCTCCTAGCAGTTTAAAGACTTTGACATCTTTTAAACTGCCCTCTCGAGAGA